GTATTGAAACGCATCATTTTTGTTAGCCCACCCCTGCAACCTATCCAGGTCTTTCTGCAGTCTCTCCCTCCATGCTAACGTGCCCACCTCTCCCCATATTTTGGTATCATCAGCAAATTTGAACAGGTTGCTTTTCACCCCGTCGTCCAAATCGCTGATAAAGAAATTGAATGGTGCGGGCCCAAAGACCGAGCCCTGGGGGACTCCGCTGCCCACTTCCCCCCAGGTCGAATATGACCTGTCCACCACCACCCTCTGAGTACGACCCTTCAGCCAATTTGCAATCCATCTGACCGTGTAGGCATCGATGCCACAGTCGCCTAGTTTTTTTAATGTTTTTAAAAGTTTTCCAACTTATAGTTGGAAATTGTTTTTAGCAAGCTTTCAGGTTTAAAAACCCTTTGTCAGGCTGAGGAAGTCTCTGCAGTTGGTGTGTGCTCTCCTGGATGGAATGAATAGTAAAGAAGCCAGAGGCTGGGCTGGTATGCATACAAGACGGGCCATCAGTGCAGATGCAAGTCCAGGAGTCAGTGGGTGAGAGACAGGCAGGTGTGGGGGGCGGGGCAGAAAGAGGGGGCTGAATGTAGCAGTTAAATAGTGGAGAGGTACCTGGGGAGTCAGATGTCAGGCAGGTTATAGTAATCTTTGGCACCATATCCCACATGTAGATTCATACATATACACAATTTCTTCTACTAGCTATATTGGGCATATGCGTCTGTCTCACCATTTAGCCTTTTTCCATGTACATTAAAGGACTAATGAGTGGAAGCAGCTGAAACCTAGACTACAGAGTGCATTTTTCTTCCAGCCATGATTCTGCTGCCTGTTCCACACTTCTCCTACCTCTGAGGGAAAGCGGAGCACTGGGGTGCCCGAGGACCACTAGAGTATACAGGAATTCATTTTTTGAGGATTATATTTTAAGCATTTCTCCAGCTGTGCATGTCTGTACACACATTGTTTGGAATACTTCCAGAGACCCTCCAAAGGCATTTGGAGTACTTTATACATATGGGTCTAGGACAATTCTGGAAGAAAGTTTATGGCTGAGATTTAAAAAAAAAAAAAAAAAAAAAAAAAAAAAAGAAGAGGTGCTAAAACTTCAAAGCATGTTAGTTTGTGTTCAGCACCTTGGATATGAGACCATATCAATCTTCATAATGCTGCCACTTTCTCAAAGGCATACTAGCAATTTAAAATGACTTTTTTTTAAAAAAAACTCAATTATGTAAAGAGATGCTCAAGATTATTATTCTGATATTTCTCAGCCAGAGCAATTTTTATCTGCTTTCAGTTTGTTTCCTTTGAGATGCTGATAGAACTTTATGAAAGCTGTATTGACCTTTTATAGCAAAATGAGGGAGAAAAATATTTTTGAAAGACAAAAGGAAGTAATTAGATAAATATTTAACTGATTTAAAGAAAAAAAAAAAGTCATGTATTTTATCCCTTCAGTGCTGTAGGTGGCTGAATGATACAAGAAAATACCTCCAGAGAACAAAAACTGTACAGCTACCTAATCCAATTCATCTGTAGATTAGCATGGCCTGGTTTTCTAGATGCAGATTTTAATAAATCACATAATAATTTCTTCCTTCTTTTCTGCAACAAGATTGCAGGATTTTAGAAGTACTTAACCAAGGCCTCAAGCCATGCTCTTAAAGGGCAGTAGCTTGGGGAATCTGTCTTTTTGCTTTCTTCACCAGATGCTACTGTAATGAAGCGACAGGAAATGCATTACTCTCCTTCCTTTGTTCTCCCGCCTCTAAATTCCTAATTAAACATATTCAGTAGAAAATAGACTCTGAAACAAGTGGCTAATTGTGAAGATATATGATAAACCACCCTTGAAAGTGAGAGAAATTGCAAAGGATTTACGAAGTGCACTAACTGTGCATTGGAAGATGGGCCTAGCAAGGAAGCTCAAACAAACTGGAAAAACAAAAAGTTTGTTTTTCAAAATTTTGGTTGCCCGATTGATTTACAGAACTAACTATTCATTTTTCTATTATATTGCTAGAATGAAGGGTAAAAATGCAAGTAGCATAATGAATTATGCTTTAAAGTAATACTCTAATATTTTCTGTAAACATTTAGTACATTAGTACTTTAGATGGATAGTGACTTCCATACTGAGACTTGAAAGAAAGGCTAAAGTATGCATATTTTCCAATACAAGACAAAATAATGTTAGCAACTAAAATGCTTAAGCAATCCAGCTGTGTTCATAACAAAAAACAGCCCCATCACTTAAACCCAAAAAGTTGGTTAAAAAAATTACATTAAAAAAATTAAAAATACTTGCCTCATTTTTAGAGCCAGAAACCACGTCTTGCTTTTCTTTTTTCCTCTTCCATGGAAGTCCTTTGTACCCATAAAATGAAAATTACTGTACCTTCAATGTGATTTAGTTCATGGAAAATTTCTTTCCACTTCTGAAATGTGTAAATTAGAAATGCATCTTTCTTTCTTAACAGTTTTTCTTCTACCTTAGGTACATACAGATATTTCAGGAGAGTAGCCTCTGAAATGGGTTTGAAGGTTACTTTTGTTGACTGTACCAAATTTGAATGTCTAGAGGCTGCAATTACACCAGAAACAAAGGTAATTGAGACATGCTTCTAAATTCAACTTCCAGTGCATCTTGAGTCATTTTGTTTGGCTGTTCCAATTGCAAGAGTAGGAGCATTCTTATGACAGGTTTTTATTTGTTGCAGGAAGTGTGAGTGACCAACAAACTTAACTTAATTTTCATAGAATCGTAGAAAATTAGGGCTGGAAGGTAATTCAGGAGGTCATCTAGTTCACCCCCCTACTCTCAGTAGGACCACCCCAGCCAAGGCTTTGTCTAGCCAGGTCTAGATACCTCCAAGGATGGAGATTTCACCACCTTTCTCAGTAACCTGTTCCAGATTTACTAGCCTCTTAGTTAGAGAGAGTATTTCCTAATATCTAACCTAAGCCTGCTTTGCTGTAACTTGAAGCCATTGTTCCTTGCTCTGTCCTCTGCTACCACTGAGAACAGTCTAGCTCCCTCGTCTTTGGAATAACCCTTCAGGCTGCTATTAAATACCCTTGTCTTCTCTCTTCCAGACTAAATAGGCCCAGTTCCCTCAGCCTCTCCTCAGAAGTCATGTGCCCTAGCCCCCAACTATTTTCATTGACCTCCACTGGACTCTCTCTAATTTGTCTATCTTTTGGGTGGGGGGACCCAAAACTGAACACAGTATTCCAGATGTGGCCTCAATGGTGCTGAATAGAGGGGAAGAATCACTTCCCTTGATCTGCTGGCAGTGCTTATGCTAATGCAGCCCAGTATGCCGTTAGCGTTCTTGGCAACTAGGGCACACTTGGTTCATATGGAGCTTATTGTCCACTGTGATGTCCAGGTCCTCTTCTGGAGAGCTGCTGCTTAGCTAGTTGATCCCCAGCTTGTACCAGTGCATGGGATTGTTCCATCCTAAGTGCAGGACTTCACACTTGTCTTTATTGAACCTCATGAAATTTCTTTTGGTTTAATCCTTCAATTTGTCAAGATCTGGCTGAATCCTAGCCCTGCCCTCCAGTGTATCTACTACTCCCCCCAGCCTGGTGTCATCTGCAAGCTTGCAGAGGGTGCACTCCATCCCAGCTTCCAGGTCATTGATGAAGCTATGGAACAAAACTGGCCCCAGGACTGATCCAGGGGCACTCCACTTGAGACTGCCTGCCAAGTAGACATTAAACCATTGATTACTACCCTCCAAGCCCAACAATGCAGCCAATTTTTTTTTAATTAACCTTACAGTCCATTCAGTCAACCTGTACTTCCTTGACTTGGTTGCGAGAATGTTGTGGGAGACCGTATCAAAAGCCTTGCTAAAGTCAAGCTGCACCACGTCCACTGCTCTTCCCACATCCACAAAGCCAATCATTTCATCATAGAAGGCGGTCAGGTTGGTCAGGCATGACTTCCCCTTGGTGAATCCATGCTGACTGTTTGTTCCTAATCACCTTCTCTTCCAGGTGTTTAGAGGACCTGCTCCATGAATTTTTCTAGGGACCAACTGGTCTGTAGTTCCCCTGGATCCTCCTCTTTCCATTTCTTAAAGATGGGCACTATATATGCCCTTTTACAATCATCTATGACCTCGAAATCACCACAAGATGATGGCCAGCAGCTCTGTAATCACACTGGCCAACTTCCGCAGCACTCTTAGTTGCATCCTGTCTGGCCCCCACGGACTTAGAAAAGCTGGATGTGTACAAGTAGTCCCTAACCTGTTCTTTTTTCACTGAGAGCCACTCATCTTCTCCCCAAACTGTGCCACCAGGTGAAGTAGTCTGGGAACTGACCTTGCCTGTGAAGCCTGAGGTGAAAAAAGCATCGAGTACTTCAGCCTTTTCTGCATCATCTGACATTAGGTTGCCTTCCCTATTCAGTAAGGGACCCACACTTTCCTTTATCTTCCTCTTCTTGTTGACATACTTGTAGAAATCCTTCTGGTTACCTTTCACATCATTGCTAGCTGCAACTCTAGTTGTGCTTTGGCCTTCCTGATTTATTCCGCATTCCTGAGCAGTGTTCTTGTACTCCTCCCTAATTGTTTGTCCAAGTTTCCACTTCTTGTAAGCATCCTTTGTTTTAGCTCACTGAAAAGTTTCCTCTTAATTCAAGCTGGTCTTCTGTCATACTTGCTGGTCTTTCTGTGCATCAAGATAGTTCATTCCTGTGCCCTCAGTAAGGTTTCGTTAAAATACAACCAACTCTCCTGGACTTCCGCCTCCCCCCCCCCCCCCCCCCCCCCCCAAAAAAAAAAAAAGACTGGCCTCCCAGGGGATCAGTTGAGGGAGTCAAAGTCTGCTTTTCTGAAGTCTAGGGTCCTTATTCTGCTGCTCTGCTTCTTTTCTTCAGGATCCTGAATTCAGTCATCTTGTGGCTGCTGCTGCCCAAGTTGCCAATCCACTACCACCTTCCCTACCAGTTCTTCTCTGTTTGTGAGCAGCAGGTCAAGAAGAGCATGGCCCCTAGTTGGCTTCTCTAACACTTGCACCAGGCATTTTCTTAAATGCCTATTCCTGGCAACATATTGTATATTTGCATAGTGAATTTAGAATAGTCTAAGGGCTGTGAATAGAGAGAATTTTATCCTATGCATGTAATAAAGGGTTGTTCAGAGATTTATTTTTAAATGGGTTTCTGGAAGAAGGGAGGAAAGTTTTGCAGTTAACTATGTCAGTGATTAAAAGCTGCTATGATCCAGGTTGTTGTTTTGTAATTAATTTCTACCTGGATATGAAGATGGCGGTTGTCAAACTAATATTAAATATAGCTTATGGTTTTTATAGACTTTATAATAAATGTACTATTATATTGGTACAACTGAAAAGGGTATACTAAACAAGGGATCTGCCTGGGTGATACTGGTCCATAAACACTAACTAAGACAGCAGTAGTACAAGCATATTTTCAATATTATTTTTGCAGAAAATGTACCAAAGAAGAAAGAACAAGCATCCTTAAAGTATATTGTACAACAGACAGCTTCTATCACCAATACCAATATATCTAAAACTAATGACTTACGTTTGTTAAACTATAGCTTGTCTGGATTGAAACTCCCTCAAATCCCATGCTGAAGGTTATTGACATTCAAAGCTGCGCAGATGTCGTCCACAAACATAAAGACATTATTTTAGTGATAGACAACACCTTTATGTCAGCATATTTCCAGGTAAGCTGATTAGGTGTTTGAAATAATGAGGTGAGTACATGGTATTTTTTTTAAAATTCCTTTCAAAGTCAGAAAAATCAGGAGCTAAAGCACTTCAAATGACTTTAATTGTAACTATATATTTTGTTTGTTCTTTTTCTTCTTCTAACAAAAAAGGTTGAATGAATGAATAAATAAATAATGGTCTTGATTTGGTGCAATTTTAACTCCACCAGCACAGTAATTATTTTCTCTCCAAAGCAAAACTATTATGTTTTTAACTTATAAATGGTAGGACTGCTAACTGAACTAACATGGTATTTTATATAACTTCCTAATTTGGGTAATTTTATAGCTAATTCTTCTTTGTGTGCTTGAACTATTCTTGTCCTAATTGTTTTTTCTGTGATTTCCTTTGGGGCCAGATAACATTTCTTCTTTAATAAGTGTAACTCTATAATCTTATTGATTCAGGAGAAAAAAAAAAAAAAAAAAAAGAGGGGAAAAATGTATTAACAGCATAAATCCAACAGTTTGGATTCATGTCATTTGAAATGTTAAAGGAATATTTAACCTGAAGGTCACACAGTCTTTAATTAATGTTTGTGGCAATCTGGAGGGTGTTATTGGCCACTGAAAGCTGTCAAGTCTTTCTATTTGTGCAATATCCTTTTGTATGTTTCTATTTTCCATATTAAAAATTAAGTATAAGGTTTATTAACCATTGGAAATATCATTTAATTCATGCCGAGCTGCACACACTCGCATATGTTCTCCTGTAGACTTCGCTAATTCACTTCATTTTAGGTATGCACAGGATTTTTCATGGTTTTGTTTTGAACTTGTTTTAAAGCCAGTTTTCTTAAAAAATTCAGTGAATCTTACAGAATAAGATTCACTGTGTGAATGCAATATTGGATACGTCTGTACAAAATCAAGGTTAGAACATTTAGCACTATCCAGATAATACCTCATTCTTCCTTCAAGGCACTGACTCAAAGCACATAAGCCTTATGGTTAAACATATACTTAAGTGCTTTCCTGAAGTCTTAGTTTGTCCTGCACACATCTCAAAGGCTTACTGAGTCACTTTGGCAAGACTCTGTATGGCATTGTGTTGAAGCAGCAAGTTAAGTGTATGAAAACAAATTAGCTCATGTATTTTTTTTATTGATGTGATCACAAGCGAAAACCAATTTATAGCGATTAACCATGTAGGATTGCCTAACAGGCAATATTAGATAACATATTTAAAAACACTTCAAGGTTGCCACTGGTATTTCACAATAGAGAGAGAATAATCTGCATGAAGTTATGTATATTATATATGATAATTAAATGTGTTATATATAAGAGAAAAAAATCTAATGCTTATATTACTATTCTGCAATTGACCAGTAGAAATGTGTTGTCCAATTGCTCAAACAAACTTCCATAGTCCAACAGCAAGTTTTTCCACCTCCCTTGTTTTAAATACACTGCTCATTTAATATGTTAAGCAAACATATTAGCAGGGTTAAAAATAAAAACATGCACAATTTATCATTTAATGATAGAACATATTGTTATTCAGCCTTAGAGGACTGGGAGGAGCTTGGCCGATTTGTAGACAATGTTATTTTGAAAAACACACATGTGAGGAATTGTGTGTGTCAATCAGTCCCCGTCTAAACGCTTCACTTTTGCTGTTGGCAAAAGGTGAGCATATGAAAAAATATGTAATATCGCAAAAATAATTGTAGACTCCAAGGTGTGGAATGCACTAAATAAACTTGCCTGGCTGTTCTTTGAGAGGTCCTGCAATAACCCACTCATGGTTGAAGCTAAGGTTGCTGATGCGGTTGTCAGCTATGTACCCATAGGGCGGCTGTCCACTAGCTGTGTTTTATAAGTGGGCATGTTCAGTAATTTAAAACTAGGATCAGGCTCTGAACAGAAAGATGAGAATGTATTAAATCAGATTTCCTATTTTTATTCCATTTTAGCGTCCTTTGTCTCTGGGGGCAGATATTTGTATGTATTCAGCAACCAAATACATGAATGGTAAGCATCTGATAATAGCTCAAACATTCTCTTGGTTTTGTTAAAAACAAATTAAAATTGCCATAAAAATATTGCTAATTCATTGGATCTCCCCTTCTGTATTCCCACCCTTCATTTACAACAGCTATGATGGTCTTCAGCTAGCAGTCCAGTTATGCATTACTGGACTCCACTTCCACTCTCTCCACCTTTTCCCTGAACACACTTCTCACATGAGCTGACCCCCACAACCCCCATGCCGGGAGTGCCCCTTTCCAGATGATTCACTAGAGTAAGTGTATTAACTAAGGATTCGGACTGGTTGCTAGTTGAGACCGCACTAGGAAGGCTTCTCACCATCTCTCAGCTATGACGGGGCATTATTGGAAGTGAAGGAATATCTCTATTGGGAGGGCAATACTGTAGTGATTGCCATACCACTGATTGTTCTCAGCTGTCAGGTGACTTACAGTTTAATTAATGAGTTAATCCTTCATTAGTCAAGCTGTCCCTGTTCTTGAAAAAAAGCTGTGAGACAACCCCTGAAAGCAATTTTATCTGCCTCAGCAGTGGTTGGGTGAATCAGGGCCAAATTTATCATGATTTCAAATGCCTACCTTTCAAGTGAACAGCCTGTTTGTTTCTCATAATGTCAAGTACACAGCCTGCTCATTTCTCACACCATATACCACCTGCTTGTTTGTATACAGCTGCCACATTGCAGTGTGCTTCAGGTTTCTGCACTGAGCTTTCCTTTCCGTTCTTATGTCTATGCCTTCAGAGAAACTCCAAGCTTTTTTATTTCTGATTGGAGATAATGATTAGAGTTCCAGGATGAATTGGAAGATTAGCTCTATACTTCCCTAGAAGGTCCTACAGCCAGTCATTCATTTACATACAAGGTCATGGAGTCTGACTCATTACAACTTTCCATAAATACATGCTTCTGAAAAAAAACAAAAACAAAAACAAAAAATCAGTATCTCTTAAAATGAATAAAAGACATGACATATGTCTAAAATTAAATTAGAGGTGTGATTGCAGCAAAGGAAGCATGCTCACATTAAATTTGAAAATGGCTAATTTGGGTAAGAATGCAGTGAAGATGCATCAAAAAGGTTTGACATAGACTAACTGCACAAGTGAGTATTAAGGGTCTGTGCTGAACTACATGTCCCACGCTGAAGTTTGTGCTGCCATGTTTCTTCTGCATTGTTACCTCCAGTAGCCAGATAAAAGCTAGTGTGGATAGGTCTATCCATGCTGTAGATGTACCTCATGATTAGCATGTAGCTATAGCCAAAAATAAATAGTGTTAGTGAGGAAATACAGTGCATCAGCAGCATATCTTATTCTCAGTTTCATAGCAGCACATTTGGCTGCTATGTGGACAGAACAGGTATGATACCCGAATTCCTGCTTTTTAGAAAGTGGACAGCTAGGGTGTCAAGTGAGTAGTGAGGTGCATGTTGGCCCATTGTATAATATGGCCCTGCCAGGGCAATGAATGCATACAAAGAAAATATGTAATTACAGGACTAACAATATAGAACAACAGATTCTTGAACTAGTTTAACTATTTTGTGCCTTTCTTGTTTCTCCAGGGCACAGTGATGTTGTAATGGGACTGGTTTCAGTGAATTGTGACAAGCTGTATGAAAAGCTCAAATTCTTACAAAATGGTAAGTTGTCAACATAAAGTACTTTAAATGTATTGGATCCAAACAGCAAGTATGCTTTATATTCACACACAGTAAATCACTGTTTAGGCTACGCACATTACCCAGAGATTTAAAGGGGTGCCAGTGTATCCTGGTGCAGAGAATACTGAACTGTTGCCAGTTATAGGGGACAGACTTCTGGGAAACCCCACTTGATACTTCCTCCCAACTAAATACTGAGCCATTGATGACTACTTGTTGAGCATGATGGTCTAATTAGTTAGGTCTCCCCCCTACAGTGCTTTTGTCTAGTCTATCTCTCTTTAGTTTGTTCATGAGAATGTTGTGATATATCTTGACTTCAGCAAAGCTTTTGACACGATCCAACACAGCCACTGCTCTCCCCCATTAAGCCCAGTATTTATTTTGAGGGTAAACTGACAGTCTTGTCTAAAATTGTCAAGCCAGCACCTTGCTAAATTCACTGAAATGATTATCTCCCCATTTTACATCCTGCAAAATCTGCCTTGACTTTCAGTAAGGAAGCATGAGATTCATAAACTGCTGTGTGTACCTTATGCCCACTTAAAATAGTTTTCTTTAGGTCATGGCCAAAACATTCATCAAGGCAACTAAAGTATGGTGATTTTTTTTTTTTTTTTTTTAAACTGAAAAGTTTTCAGTTTTAGTAGCTGGACTGTAACAGGGCACCATCCCCAGGGACATTAAGAACCCCTGGAGGTGCCCCAGAACCCCTTTATTTCAATCTACTTCTGGGAACAGTCTCCTCTTCACTCGCCCGCTATATCTTCATGTTTCTTTTGCTTCTCAAAGAGGAGGCTGCCCCAGGGCTTCCCTGATCATGTCTTGGCTCCAGAAAACATCCAGAGGTGAGGAGCTCCTACCTTAAGGGCTACTTGCACAGCTCCATACCACCCCTACATCATGCCCCATGCCTAGCATGTATTATACAACTTGTCACCAGTATTGGGGCCACAGCCTATTCAGCCACTGCCCCTTCTGGCCTAGGGCCGCTGTGTTGGGCCTAGTTTTGAGGTACTAGCTTAGCTTCCTCCTTTCCTGTCACTGGGCTCTCTGAGCCCTGCCTCTTTGCACCTTGCACTGTTTGCTGGGCACCACTACAGCTCACTACTCACTGGAGCCTTGAGCCTGCCCCTAGCAGGGCTCAAGGTGTTTATGTGCCTCTGGATGAATGCCTCCAAACCTCCCCTTTAAGCCTCATCCCAAACCTCCGGTTTAAACTGCAACATAAACACTAAGCCCTTGGGCTATAACAAAGGAAAAATAATAGAGGCAGTGTGCCTGCTTACCCATGGCTCCTTCTTTCCAGGTTGCCCTGTCCTGTGCCCCAGTCTGCAGAGCTGTTTCCTTTCAGTCTCCTGGGCATTTATGAGCCCACACTCTATCTCAGCCTGGGCTGGCTGGCTCCTGCAGGGCTTATATAGCTCTAGCCTGAGCTCTCTCCTGGTCATGTGACAGCCCCAGTCAGCTGACCAGCCTGCAGGGCTACCCTTTAACCCCTGCTCTGCTGGCAGGCTGTGCCCTGAAGACTCTGTCCTTAAAGGTGTCATCCCACTTTTTAGTAACAGGGCTAGGGTTCCCTGTTGCATGGACTTTTTTTGTCTATACGTGCAAATAATCCAGGAGCAGTTCATTGTTGAGTAAACTACTGAAGAGTAAACTCTCCCAGGCACTACACGTGCAGGGATGTGGGAGAGATTTGCTGCTTCTAGCAGCAGACTGCTTTTGCTCCCTGCAGCCCTGCAGTGGGCCCCTGCAGCAGCCAAGGGGAGCTCTAGGCTCCCCCTGGGTGCCAGACCAGGGGCCAGGAGACAGCTGTCTCCTGGCAGGGGCTGGAGCATTGCTCCATGTCCCCGAAAGCTGCCTGCTGCTGGGGTGGGCTCCACCACTAGAGCCCAGGTGGACACAATGACCCCCTGGCAGCAGGGAGCTCCCAGGCCCCGCTCCATGGTCACAGGACCCAGACTGGGAGATCCTTATCTTCCAGTGCCAGTTTCACAGTCGGGACACCGGCACTGGGAGATAAGGATCTCCCATCCTGGGTCCTACGACCCCGGGGCTTGAGCTGGGAGATAAGGATCTCCTAGCATGAGCACCGCGATGGTGGGGCAGGGGCTGGGAGCTCCCTGTTACCAAGGCAGGGGGACATTGTCCCTACCTGGGCTCCAGTGGCAGAGCCTGCCCTAGCAGCAGGCAGCTCCCAGGGCAGAGAGCAATCTCCCGGCCCCTGCTGCCCAGCAGACTGGGAGCATATTTGCTCCTGGTGGGGCATCTACACATGTGCTGCTGCGCAGTTATACTCACGAGTAAATTTCCTACTTGCATTTGCAGGTAGCAAATTTACCTGTGATTAGAGCCAGTTACTGCATGGTAAGTGTCTGCACGTGTAGGCGCAGATGCTTACTGCGTAGTAATTAGCTCTACTGTGCAGTAAAGCATCTTATGTAGATGCACCCTATTTATATTAACTTCTGTCAAATGAATAAAGAATACTTGCTTTTCTGCTGACCTCATGTAAGTTCCTGAATAAAGTAATAGAAAGGTATGCTTGTGTATCATATGTCTATTAAGATTCATCCTTGAGTTTTCAGTATGTTAGCTGCAGCCTTTCAATTCTGTATCTTAGGGAAAAATACAAAATTCATTCTAAACTTAAAATACTTTAAAAATAAACAGACATGTCACCTCTTTATGCCAGGAATTACTTAGAAAACTAAGACCTTATTCCATACTAAGATAAAGAAGCACTTGTATTTGTAATACTGTATTTATTTTACAGCTATTGGAGCAGTTCCATCTCCTTTTGACTGTTACCTCTGCAATCGGGGCTTGAAGACTCTGCACATCCGAATGAAGCAGCATTTCCAAAATGCACTAGCTGTTGCTCAGTACCTTGAATCGGATTCCCGGGTAGAAAAAGTCATTTTCCCTGGTATGTTGCCCATAGCAAATAATCTTCAGAATAAATAATCTTTTGTATTTAGCGTTGTTTGAGTTTTGGCGTAGAAGTGCTGTATTCCTTAAATGTGGCTGATACATCCAGTGAATCTGATTTAGACATTTTAAAAGTTATTACTCTGCAGATGTTTATCTTACAGTTAGTTCTATATTTCTTCAAGTTGGAAGGTTGCTTTTCTACATGCCTTTAATGTAGCCTGCTTTTCTTTGAAGTGGTGATGATGGGAAAAACATTGTGTGTGTGATTAATTTCAGGATTACCTTCACATCCTCAGCATGAGTTGGTTAAGCGTCAGTGCACTGGCTGTCCTGGAATGATCACCTTTTACGTTAAGGGAAAACTTGAACATGCTGTTGCATTCCTCAAGCATTTAAAGGTAAATTACAGAATAGGCATACATTATTTTAAATGGAGAAGAAACAGATTATAACTCGCATAAGTTTTCTAGCAGTGTAGTGATAGAAGGAAGTGGTTTTCTTTGAGCCAGGGACCATCTTTTTAACTTAGATTCTGGGTATTACCACATCTAAGGAGTAGAAATTATGAGATGGGGTACTAATGAGAGGGAGCAAAGGGTGTATCGGCTCTTTGTGAAGTGTCATTCATATAGTTGGTACTTATATTGGAAGTGGAATTCAAGTGATGCCTCTACAAAAGTATTTGCAGATCTCTGCTCAGCTGTGGAAATGAGAAATATGAATGGCACGTGAAAACAGGGTAACTGCTGCTTATGCAATACTAATAGCAGGCTTCCAAACATGCGGCAAGAGAAAATGCCTTTGAGACTGCTGCTTGATCCACACTTCAAAGAAGGATCAAGGTTGTTTCATACAGCTCTCTGGAAAGTTGTTCTCTTAACATAGTTATGCTTTTTCTTTCTTCTATCTGCACTTTATATTTTTTAATCTGTTCATGACTGTTGGTCTCTGTACACATTTGCATCAGCTTTAGAATCAATTCATTGCTAAATTGACAAATTCCAACTAAGAATTCCTTTTTTCCTGCCTCTTGACTCTCCATACAATTTCAAAATCATCTTCCACAAATAGAGGTTTGCGTTAAATTTGTCGTTCATCCTGTCCCCTGAAGCTTAATCAACTCCAGTTCTGTTGTGGGAGTCAGATTCCAGAATCTAGGGTCCTTGCTGTTTTTCTACATTTTCTTTCTGCCTCCACTATCTTTACCGATTGATTTGTTGTTGAGTTGATGCTTAACTGCATCTCTGTGTCCTCATGTGGACATACCACCTGGATTGCCCCATTCCACACGCTGCTTGGATGCTACCCGCCCCCCTGTCTCCTGGATTAACCCAGAGGGACAGCCAGGGGTAGGGGGGAAGAGGGGTTCCCTCTCCCTGCCTGCTCCTGGGCTCCCTGCAGCCCCCGTTGCTCTAATCCAGCCCATACATCCCTGCCAGGCTCCGCATCTGCCTGCTCACTTGCAGCCGCCCCCTGGCTTCCCCCCTCAGCAACTTCTCAGCAGCTCTCCATGGGGAGAGGGGGCAGGGGAGTAGGGAGGCTAAGGAGCTGCCAGGCAACCATAGGGGTTGTGCAGACCTGTTCCAGGCACACTGGGAGCTGCCAGGCCCACCCACCCCTATCCCATGGCTGTCTGGCTGCTCCCCACCCACCCAGTCCCCTCTTCCCATGGCTGTCCCTTCCCCTGGGAGGAGTTACAGAGCAGCCATTGGGCCCAGCAAGGGTAGCTTGGTGGGGAAGGGAGCCTGGGAGCAGACAGGAAGGGTGAATCCCCACTCCCTGTTCCTCAGCACCAGCCCCAGTGCCAGCCAGATGAAGCCTGTAGCACAGTTCCAGCCCCAGTACCCCCTTTCCACAGCCACTGCCCACCTTCTCCTGAGGAGAGCTGGTGGGCAGCCATGGGGGCATGGCAGGGGCAGCATGGGCTTGATCTAGGCATGCAGGTTGCTGCTGAGCCCACCCATCTCCCATGCTACGGCTACCCGGCAGCTCCCTGTCCAACTACTCTAACTCTTAGCACTTGTTTATGCCTGCATTTTAAAGGCCTTTAATATGATTTAATTGTAATATGTAACCTCACTCTTTGTGAAGACATGAACTGGTATTGGCAGTTCTCAAAGGACCAGTTCTGTTAATCACTCAGAAGTTTGATTCGTTGCCAAACTTCTTGCATTTGCAAAAATTGTATTAGTAAGAACATAAGAAGTGCTGTCACTGGATCAGAACAACGGTCCATCTAGCCCAGTACTGCAACAATGGCAGGGGTAGGTGCTGTAGAGGGAGATCCTATGAGGGTATATCTAGGGTGATCTCTATCCCTTGTTTAGTACCCTCCATCATCATTGATTTAGGAATGCTAGAGGATACATCATAATGCAGTCTTAGTAATCTTGTGAAGGATGTCTCTGACATGCTTCTGATAAAGCTACAAATACAGTAAACTGCCTCAAAATTGGTGTTTTGTCAATTTTTCTTTTCACTGGGTCTAAATAGTTCAACGGTGCATGAAACTCAAAGAGTAATTGTGACGATGGGGGAGGACAAGAGAAGTAGTCATTTATTCCAAATTTAAAGATTTGGTTCTGGGTTTTTTTTCTGTTCAAACAAAGCATCTCAGCCTTCTGGATGTAATCAACATCAAGGAATCCCTTTAGGTTAGCCTTGGCTAAACTCTTCTGTGACACTCATTTTGTATTGTGACCTTTACCTAAGTTGCTCACCATGTGCTACACTCAGAATTCCCCTTCCGTGCTGTCAGTGTGTGACTATGTAGAAATCCCGTTGTTCAGGATACTTTCTTTGATGTGTTTAACCATTTAGGGCTAATCTAGTTCAGACTGCTAGATAACTTTCACCAGTAAACTACAGACTAGTCTTCTTCTTTCCTTATTACATCCAGTGTTTTCTTCCTTAGTATGCAAACTTTTACACAGAACTAGGCAAGGTTAAAACATGTCATTGCTTTTCTCTCTTCCACAATATAACAACTTTAATCCCTTTTTTTTTTTTTTTCTCAGACAGAAATCTGGATGTTTATTAAATGTTAACTTTTTTGTGTGTTTTCTGCTGCAGCTTTTTGCACTGGCCGAGAGTCTGGGAGGATACGAAAGCCTAGCAGAGCACCCGTAAGTCATTCTGCATCCATTAGAAGCAATTCTTAACATTTGTATTATACACTATAAGGAAAAAAAATAGCTGCTATTGAATTTTATGGCCATTTTGAAAACTTACAAAAGTTCTATTGTTTCATTTTGTGCCTAAGTACCATGGAGTTAACATTTTATATAGTGTAACTTTCTTATAGTCAAGAAATGGGGAAAAATAAGATAAAGCAAAGACTTTTCTGGTGCAGGTGAGAGATGAATTCTTTATACCCATTCAGTCAGAATAGAGGTGAAGTGACCCTGAAATCCCTGGTTCTGCCAAGGGAAGATTCTACCACAGGGCTGCTTTCTGAGGACACTTTTATAAGCCCTGGTTATGCTGGGAGTTAGGGCATAAAACAGAAAAAGAGTGACACAGTTCAGAACCAGCTGTACTTCTCTCCATTATTCTGCTTCCTTCTCTCCACTATTTTGCTGTACCGCCTCTAGGTCTTAGGTCTTAAGCATTTACTTCTTTGGGGTGAGTCCTGCATTTAGATCAAATCCTGGATATATCAACCATGATTGCTCAGCAGGTCCAACTGCATTCAGCTGTCTGCAGTTTTTCCTTGTAGGTGCTGTGACCAATGGCAGTACAGTGATTCCAGTAGGAACACAGCATGGCATAAGATAAAGAGGATTTTTTATCTGTCTTATCAGAAGTGAATTGTTGATAGACCTGAAAGCACAAACACAGAGTACAACCCGGTCAAGATAAAGTACTCAAGTTATTACTAGAAGCTGCAAATGCATCACTAGGGAGAATAAGGGTTGTATCAGTGTGCAGTAGAATAGCCTAAAGGGTAGGTAGCCCTTGGAGCCTGTAGTAACTAACATGGACCTTCAGGGCTCAGGAGAATGGTAAGGATGGAAAGAATGCAAAGGTGCTCGAAGCTGTCTTAGCCTTCTCTCCTGTTGGGGGACAAGTTCTCTGCTAGCCTTTTAAGAGTTTCACCCAAAGAGTCTTCATTCTCTTCTTCTTTTATCTTGGACTTCTCAACTAGATTAGTAAAATGATGGGCAGACTCAAAGAAAGACTCTGCCCACCAGAAAGACCTTCATTGTACCATTGTCTCATGGTGACTTTTGGCGGTAGCAATTGGATCAACTAGACATTTTAGATCAGGGTTGTCAACTTTTTTGGGCAGAGTGCCAAAAACACCTGCAACCTTGACTTGTAAGATGTTGGTATGTCAGGGGCAGAAGGTGGGGAAGCTGCAAAGGGTCTGAACCTTGTTGTAGTAACACAGCCCTGGCCCCTTACCTGAGGTACAAGTGCCAAGCAAAAATGCCTTCATGTGCCATGCTCTGGCATGAGTGCCAGGGGTTGCCTACCCCTGTTTTAGACCCTGTTAACCCCAGAAATGTTTTCCAGCGTTCTCCACATTCTTGTTAATGGCTTTTTTTGCCTCACTGTATGGTGTTCTGGTTTGTTTTAAGAGTGAACCTGAAACCCAAATAGAATAATGGATCAGATAATGATGCTGTACAAGATAAACTTAACTGTACTTATTCTTCAGTCTTACTACTGTACTGCTATTCTAATTGCTTACACAAGGGGGCATAGTTGGCACACTGAACTAAATTGCACCTGTTGTTCATTTTAAGTTGTTTGTTGGGTATATAACAATATTTAATTGCTTATGCCCAGTATGGTCTGACCCAAGCTATAGATTTACAAATTAAAATAGCCATTACACTTCTGAGATCTGTACCCCTCTGCTTAGACTACAGAATCATTGTAGCCAGCAATGAAAATAAACTTTATTTTGTTGTATTGATTTCTATCCGCTCTGTACATCCTATTGGTAATAACCAATTTTTTCCCAAGCAGACAATAAACAACGTATTTTAAAAAAAAATTAAATGTGAAAATTTTCATTTAAATTGTTTTTTTAATTATATTTGCAACAATGACAACCAGTGTTAATGGTTTTTTATAATTTATCAGAACCATTTATAACTGTAAGCAACTAATATTTGTTGCTGAAGTTTTAAAGGAGGTCAAACCACTGAATGGATGAGCGTGTGGAATCAGAGTTTGTTGAAATACTGGTACTAATTTGACCTTTGACCACAGTGTTCTTTTCTGTATGTACACAGAGCATTATTTTTTCCATTTCAAGTTAGTTCATTCTAACTTGACTGAGAGTTGAAAAAGTATGAAAATGTTTGTTATTCTAAATGATGAATAAATGCTATGCTTGAGAGAATATGATCCACTAGTTCTAAAATCTTGAAGGACCTGGTAACTCTCAGTTAAGTTTATTACTTAGAGAAACTGCCCCCTTTGTTTAATTAAACTGTTTTAAATATAAAATATCCTTTCACATACTTTTATTTCTTACACAATCAGGACGTTTAAGGTAGTTGTACAAACAGAACGTAATACCTATGACTTAAATACATTTTTATTTAGTTCCAATTTCTGTCCAAATAAAGCTTGACACCTATCTTAAGTTAAAAAAAATCCTCATCATCTAGTAAAAAAGAAATGTCTTTCATCATTTCCTAACATTAAAAAAATTAAAAATAATAATCTGAGTAAATGTTAAATACATAGTAACTGAAAAAATTGTATAGATACACTGTGTCCTAGCAAGAAGTGCTAAATTTTAATATAAAGACTGAGTACAAATCTGCATGTTTTAATGATTACCAGTTACCAAAAATAAACTTCTCTTGAGAACAAGAACTGAAAAATAAAAAAAAGGAAACAAGATTAAAATAAATGTTTAATTAAAATTTCCTGCTTATTGATTTAATGCATTAGAATCACTTCCTCACAAAGTAAGAGGAGTATTTGGACCTACTACTTTTAAAATTCTACCAGTTTTTACATTAAAGTGGAACCTACCTTTTGAATAGATAGCTTTTTAAAGACAAACCTTCATCAAATATTACCCCCTTTTGAATTTCTCAAATATATTTTTTGAAAGAAAACTGAGACATCATATTTTCTTATGTAGTATTATATTTTTTCTGTGTAATAATAAAATGGGTATTGGAAGAAATATGTTTAGGCCTTATCACTTAAAAAAAAAAAGAGGTACAATTCTAAAATAATATTTTTTTACCAGTTATTTATCAGTCAGAAAAATATTGTGCCAGGTCATCTGATGCTGGTAATCATTGACTTCATTGGAGCCACACAGGTTTACATTAGCTGAAGATCTTGATTTATGATTAAGATTAAGTAGAGAATATTGCAAAATTTGCTGTAGAGTCACTATGGCATTCTTAATTCTATGAACGTAACAGATAACTGATTTGTCTGGTCTTTATGAAGGCAAGGTTTAAATAGAAAGACTGTTCTTGTCTTTTAGGGCTGTCATGACTCATGCTGCAGTTTCTGAAGAGGATAGAGAAGCTCTTGGAATCTCTGATACTTTAATTCGTTTATCAATTGGTTTGGAAGATAAAGAAGATCTACTAGAAGATCTGGATCAAGCTTTGAAGGCAGCAGTAAGTCATGCATCAGAGCTTTCTGAAAGTTAAAAAAAAATCCCTTCCACATTATTTGTGAAATAAAGTTACTCTGTCAGGCCCCCTCTACAGGTAAAGATGCAATGGGATCTAATGTGCAGTGCACATAATCACACCTCCTGCCATGCCTCATATGTATGGCAGGAGGCATGATTATAGAATTGCACGTTAGATCCTATTGCACATTATTGCCTGATCCTGGCCCCCCTCCTGTACTGGCAAGAAGCAAGTACCCATGACTGGGAGCCCCCTCAGCCATGATCTTCCAGCCCTGAAGGTACATGAAGACTAGGAGATTAAGGCCAGCACCAGGGTTTTCATGCACCACCTGAGGCTGGGAGATTGCAGCTGGTGTGCTCTCCCAACCCCTGGGGCTTCATGCACTACGTTCCAGCACCAGGAGGCGCACTGCCTGGAACCAGAACTTGCAGCTGTGGGACTCTAGGTCTCAGCAGATATGGGGTGCTGCCAGGACCCAGAGATGGTAGCTGTTGGGGCTGAGAGTCCTCTTAGTTGTGGGACTCCCAGCCTCCATTGAGCATGGTGCACCCCTGAGGCTAGGAGCCCTGCCAACAACAGGGGAGACCCTGCTACACTTGCAAATTAAAGCTTCGTAGCTCCCAGCTGTAAAGTTAGTATACATTTTTTAGGTCTAACTTTAAAGCTAGTTGGAGTTTTCTATGGCATAATAAGTACTTTGCGTGGGTAGCTGTTCTTAAGGTAATGGTGCAGTTAACCAGTTAGTTATGCAATACCTGTAACATGTAGAGGGGGCCTCAGATAATTAAAAAATATAGCAGGTGTTTAGCACTGTCCTACTGTCTCTCATTCACTTATTATATTCAATGTATTTTAAAAATGATGAACTTTAGTTTTAAATGCTGATTGGCATTCTCCAAACAACACGGTTGCCCACTTTTGCCATTTAAAAATGTGTATATGTTGATTTCTAATGCATATATGTGGATTTCTTAGACTCTGACAATAACAGAACTGACAGGTGTGGTCATCTGGTGACTGATTGATAGTGTGTTGGGAGTGGAATGTGGAACAGAATTGTAGGGGTTTAGGTTGTAGCCGTGTTGGTCTAAGGACATAGACAGACAAGGTTCCTTGGGTGAATCTGGTATCTTTTATTAGACCAACCCAAATAGTTGGAGAATAGTTATTAAGCAAGCTTTCGAGTTCAAAAACCCTTCGTCAGGCTAAGGAAGCTGCAGCAGTTGGTGTGCGCTCTTCCTGGATGGAATGAAAAGTAAAGAAGCCAGGGGCTGGGGAGTCAGTTGCCAGGCAGATTATAATGTATCAAAAATCCAATGTCTATGTTTAGTCCATGATCTGTAGTATCCAGGAGGTTGATGAAATGGAGCTCGTAGGCTCGTCTCTGGGAAGTGTTGTGCAAGTTTCCCTTGAGGATCAGGACTGAGAGATTGGAGAGAGAGTGGCCCTCCTGTGAGAAATGTGCCCCTGGTGAGTACTTACCGGTGGGGGCACATTTCTCACAGGAGGGCCACTCTCTCACTTAAACCTTTGCTTAAATTCAGGAAACAATTGTTAACTTTTTATTCTGGTAGCTTTTTAAGATTGTTACTTTAGTCTTCAATTCAAATGTTATGTACTCGTTCTCTCTTGGCAATTGATTAAAATTATTTCATGCTAATAGTGGATAAAATTATATTACATTTAATCTTCCTTTTTCAAGATGTGTCCTTTAAAAAAACAGTAAGAATTGATCAATGTAACCTGCTCCTCCAGTAGTTTTACACAAACATTTATACTGGCTTTTGGATAGGTTGGTACTGTGATTAGTACCCCCTCTCAAAAAATATAATAGCATTAGTGTCTTTTACAAGCATTCCTACTCAAGTGAACAGAAACATAAATGAATAATCTAAAGTGGAGCACTCAGCTCTGGTATGGACCATCAATCTATGTAGATACAAAGTAGTAGTACAATGTCCTGTTCTTGCATTTGAATGTTGGCATCATGGTACTTTAGCTATATTAATTGTTTATGACATGCTGGCTCCTGGCAGACATTACACTTAAGACATGATTATCTTAGTTAATCACATCTTAAGTAGTAACCTGGCCACACGTTCATGTAGTTAGTGGCATGATGACAGGAAATAAGCTGTAGTTATTACAAAACATGTGTGTAATCATTTTGGGCTGGTTCCTATCACACCTTAAATTGAACATGTAGTGAGTGCTGATCAGCTTACTGGTGCTCTGAGCCAGGTGCAGTGGGTACCCGGCTTCTATTTGCTGGTGCAGGAGGAGCCTGGGCTCATGATCTCGGGTTCTCCCAGTACCAGCTATAGGATGTGATTGGGATCTGATCCCAAGTCCCACAGTTGTGCCTCCTACAGTGCACATGTAGCATGGCAGAAGGCACAATAGTTAGGATTGCAGATCAGATCCCACCTCTGTCAGGGTTCTCTGTTACAACACAGGTACATCAGGACAGAATACTACACTTGGATAGTTCTCTGCTACTACACTGGATATCTCTCTCCTCTTGTCCTTTAAGAATGGACAGATGGTTCTCTCCTTTTGTCTGTTAAGGACAGCTGACCTTCCAATAGTTGGATTCTATACATGAAAAATTATAATAAACTTATAATTTTCATGTAAAGAATCTGACTATTGGAGGGCTGTCTTAAATTTGAAGATGTCTTGGATTCAGAGAGATGTGATAATTAGTTAATGGCACCATAACTTTAGTATGTCTAGGAGTTGATTTCTGAAAGATGTTGAGCACCAACAACACGGATTTCAGCAGAAGTTCAGACTATTCAACCATCTTCAGAATCAGGTTGTTAATTAGTTTTTGTAGGCCTGGATCGGAACATTTAAGTGAGTGGAAAGACTTCTATGGATTTAACTTCTCTATGGGCCTGAACTGATCCAAAGTCTATTTAAGTAGCCTGCTTAAGTTAATACAAGTCCAGTAGCAGCATTGACAGGACCAGACTTGATAGCACTGCTTTACATCTTGTACCCTGTGTTCACTGCGCCATGATATCTATCTATCTATAGATATAGACAGATCTGAGCTTCAAACTGTTGGAATGGATTTATAGTGATATTGCATTGCTTTAAAACAAACATATTTTCTCTAAAATAAGCATGCTGTATGTGGCAATTTGAAAAATCGGCCAAAATTAAAATATTTCTATTTCTAACAGCAGGCAAGCAACTGAGAGATCATTTGCAGATGTCAGGGGGAAGGTATAAATAATACAGTGCAATGGAATGTATAAATAATGCAATGGAAATGTGTGGCCAACATATCTTCTGTGCCAAAATAAACAGCTTTGTAACAGAGAGCGGACACAATACGATTATGTTGTTCATGTTTTCTGTTACTACAGTTCCCAGAGTACACTGTTCGCAACTAGAAGTCAGAAGTTGGAACACCACACAGCTAAAATACCCAGAGAAGATTAAATGAAAAGCCAAACTGCTGATGAGTTTCTTCAGATTTGCCTATGAAAATTGAACCCTATCTTAACCTTAATTGAATCTAGGCAGTTTTCATTTGTGCCTTTAGCCTCACTTTCCAAAGGGATTCAATAAGGGTTGTGCACTAGTGCACAAAACTACTTTCAGATGTGTTATCCTCATGAGATGTTATCATCCTTTGCTCTTATGACTTGGCTATACTACTTTCAGAGTAGTGGTGGTGCTGAGGGCAGCTGTGATGTACACTCAGGAATAATGTCTCTCTCCCAATGGAGGTTAAAAGCTGGTGTTTATTATGCTGTACGTGATAAATGTTTATCATGTTGGAGGATGCTGCTTTCCTGCTGGTGCGTCCTTTTTCTTTTTTTTTTTTTTTTTTTTTAACCAGGATTCTGCAGGGTTTTCTCGGGGTTTTTTTTTTTTTATCATCACATTTACCTCTAACCCTGAAGGTATATTTGGAATGCTGCTTGCTCTAACTCAGATTCTTTTGAATGACAACCTCAAATGTGGTTTGACTTTACTTTTTTTTTTCCCTCTAGATATTTTGTGCAATATTAAAAATGAAGCAAAATCAGATGCCTTATTCTGCAGTGTAAATTTCTGCAGATGACCTAGTGGCATTTTTGTAAGTTTACTTAATTTTGTTTAAACACTTTAGTTGATATTTTGAAAATTCCATTATGCGTTTAATTATAAGGACTGGGTTTTTTCTGGTTCTGTAGCTAATTTTATGAGCCTTAGTCCTATATTTGAAATCTAAAGCAAAAGGGATTGGTGGAAACACCTATTTTAAATTCTCTCATGAATTAAAATGAAATGTATTACAATTTGTTATACAACTGATGATTTTGATATAAGAAAATGGGTTTGTTTTTAAACTGTCAACTTTTACTTACATGAAGGTATATGTTCACATGAATAAAGGTTTCCTGCATTGGGTCCATTGTTTGAAGTGTGTAGATTTTAGGAGGTATGCGTGCTCAAATATAATCTACTCTCTTAACATAGATATTGAAACAAGAGTTCAGATCCATAGTTATAATTGAAAAGCTGAATTTTGAACACCCTTCAACACAAGTAGTCCAGTAAAGACACAGACAGGTTGCATTGATAAAGTAACAGCATTGAGTCTGAAAGTTTCAGTGGAACGTTTTACCCTGAGAAAATACTTCAGTCTTAATTCTTGCTTTGTCAATCTGGAATTCATGTTATTACATATTTGAATTCCTAAGGTAGATAATGAAGGGAAAAATGGGGCATTAATCGCAAACATATTGATGTTTTTAAAAGTGTAGCTTTCTCAAGCCTAAAGACATACAGATGCCCCGTTTTAGTAAATAAGGGGTATTTAATCAAGTTTAGTTCTTTGGCCTTTTAAAACCCTATCACTTTTTATTTGCAATCCAGAATTGGATTACAGTGTTCTCTGTGTATTGTAACTGGAATGTTTTAGTAAATAAGGCAGACATCAAAACCAGCTGTGTAGAGTTGTTTTTTTTTTTTTTTGTAAATAGCTTTAAGCCATTGCTACTAATAACAATCTAAAAATGAATATGGGATGCTCTGCTCCCATTTCTATTTTAGAATAATTCTGGCACCTGAGTTTTCATTATGGTTGGACAAACTATGGGGATTAGAATGAAGAAATTAAAATATGCGATAAAACTGGAAGGGTTTGTTTTCCATGTGTTCCCAAATACTGAATTGTGAAGATGCATGAAACGTGGTGAGCTTTATTGGCAGATTTGATTGTAGAAGATAGTTGATGTTTTTTAAGTAAAAGTCTAAACAGCCCATGCACCATGATTTAGCAAACAGCCACAAAAATATTTTTAAGGCTTGTGAAGGAATTACGGGAAACATACTTATCACTTTGAGGCATTATTCCTGGTTATAATCCATCTAAATTGCCTGTGGTATCTCAAGAGGTCAGGGAAGTACAAACTCTTCCTATTGCAAACACTTCAAACTTCACTTCCTGAAGTGTAAATACTTTGTTGTCAAAGCACAATGGTATACCAGAAGGGAATGGAGATGAAAGAAAATAAAATACTTAATTCATTCACCTCTGCAAGAAGGTGCTATAGCAGATTCCTTCACAAGTTACTTTACTTCTTGTAAGGGCAGTTTTAAAGATGGTTAAGTAACAATTACATTTTTTGTTGGTGGTGGTAATGGGGAGAGGGGCAGGCATAGAAAGGTTAATATCAACTTAAAAGAACATTTCCATGCCTCTGCTCAGCTCCTACAGCCTAGAATTTTACACTCTAGGAGCACATCCAGACGAGCCCACACGTCCCTCTTTGAGACGCTGCAAGAGGCACGTGCAGGAAGGGGAAAAGGTTCCCCGTGCTGCAAATTTGCAGCATGGAAGCAAAATTAGACCCCTGGATATCCAGGGTCAAAAAAAAAAACTGGAGTGAAAAAGAGCAGGGCAGGGCATGGTCCCAAACCGTTTCCTGAGGTAACCAGAGGCTGGGTCCTCCATAGAGACACTCTGGCTGCCAGAGTGTCTCTATGGTTGGCCCTCTCCCTGGTGCTGAAGCATGCTGCCTGCCCGCGCAGAGCAGGCAGTGTGCCAGCTGCAGGGACCTGGACCCGAGCTCCAGTGCTGGTGAGTAGGATGTTGGTGGGGCTGGAGGAAGGGGGGGGGGACCATGGGGAGGGACCCCGTCTGGCCCTGCCTGCTTCCCCAGATCCCTGCACCACCCATCCGCACCCCCTGCCTACCCCCCCAGCCCCCCAAATCCCTGCCCCCTCCCCAGATCACTGCCCCCCTTCCCCCAACATCCCCAGAAAAGAAGCTGTCCAGAGGGGGACACCGAGCAGAGCTCACCCAATCTGCACCCACCGGTCCTCAAAGGCATCCAAGGAGCCAGTGGACGCCTCCCACTGGTGCTTTGCCTGGAAATGTGCACAGACAAGGGAGAGGAAAGCAGCCCCAGAAGCTCCTGAGAGCAAGTAGCCCTGAGCTACTTGCCAGGGCAGCTTTTTCTATGGGTGGGGCCAGGACAGGGCAACTTTTTAGACTGCTGGGGACAGCACAGGTGCTGGCCCCAGGCTCTAGCTCCCTCTGCCTGCAGATCCAGGAGGAGCCAGGCAGGGTTATTTATTGTGCTCCAAGTGGAACAATTTGCTCCACAACAAAGCGCATGTCTGGGCACATGCATTGAGGCAAAAAGCCCCAGCTCAAATTTGCACCGTTTCTATTTGAGCTGCTGCAAGCACACGTGTCTGCATGTGTGGACACACCCTAGGAGTGTGTGCAGTGGCTATGAATTTCCCCGCTTTGGTGCTGGCACTCTAAAATAAATGTTTGTCAGGTTTGCTGCTGTTTTGACACACCA